TTTGTAACAGGAAAGAGCATCACAGATCAATTGATTACACTGAAAAACATTCTTTTTCAGCTGCCCCATTTGTCTTGCTGTAGGTCCTACTGAGCACATGCAGGCAGAGTGTGTTGGGGGTTCAAGGAGCAATCAGCCTGACCTGAAAGCTCAAGAGAAATTTAAGACATCTGCTCCTCTGTATTACAGCGACCTTAGACGGTCACTGTGGTGAGAGAAGGACGAGAATCTTGTTTCTTGATCAGAAGGCTTGATTTATTGATATATGATATATAATACATTATAACTATACTAAAAAGAATAAGAAGAGAAGTTGCAGAGAGCTGCTAAGCTAAGAATAGAATAGAAGGAATGAATAACAAAGTTCTGTGTGCAGGGAATCTGTCCCTGAGCTGCTCCTGTGATTGGCCTTTAATGGTACACAAGGAAGATGAGCCAATCACAGGGGCACCTGCTACATTTCACAGCAGCTGATAACAATTGTTTACATTCTTCTTCTGGGGCCCTTTGCTTCCCAGAAGATGGACAAATCCCAAAGAAAGGATTTCTATGAAGAAATGTCTGCGACACCTCTGCACCTTCCTCTGCCCAGGTAGGAACATCTGTATTGTATCTACCCAGGTGTATTTACAGTCCCGTGCTCATGGCAGAGAAAACTTGTCCCTAGAGGAACCCATAGGAGTTTCACCTCTGAAATCAATCTCTCTAGATGTCACCTGAGATTTTAATCCTCCTATGTTTACACCCTTATGGCCTGACACGCACACAGTAGAAGTTTTTCTGAGCAGATTGCAAGCTACATGTTACCATGTATGCCATAATAAACAAATGCAACTCATGCACAACCAATTCAGAAAAAGTTCAGGTACATAAGTATAATTAGCAAAGTGGAAAGAGATATTAAGCATAAGATGGTTTAATTACAATTTTTATACTGATAGAGTTAAATTCTGTTTTCTTCATCAAGTAGAATATGGAGAAAGAAGAACCTTAGAAAAATTATGAGAATAAAACAGGTTGTAGGTTCTTTGGTTTTTGTTTGTTTTTATATAAGTACCCAGGATACTGTGATTTTTTTTTTTCCCCTGGAGTGATTTCTGGTTTATTTTTTCACAACAAAACCCCCCAAAACCACTCTGTGAAGGAAAATGAATACATGTAGCTACACATGAATACATGTGTAGCAGCATTTGCATCCCCTAGCTAAGGTCTGCTACTTGAATTATGTATCAACTTTTGCGTTTAAAAATGTTTGGAGGGAAAGAAAAATATGGTAAATTTAAAAATTTACTTGCCTCCATCTGGGTTATAAACTACCTCAGAGAATGTGTGGGTACAGCTGATTAAGATAAAAAGACATGTTGAGCTATTTGTCTAAGCCACAAAAGGAGAATTTGTAAGACAATAGTTTAAAATGCTTAGGATTTAGCAGTGTTGTAGAGAAGAATAATGAAAGCCATTAGTGATTACAGCATGCTGAAAATTGGCATCTGAAGGTATCAGGAGAAGGCTGAGTTGTCTGCAGTAGTGCAACAAATAAACTTGAAAGACAGCAAGCTGAATCACAAGGTTGCACATCACTTCAGGAACTGGGGAGCATATTTATTTTTGACTTCTGGAAACAGTGATTCAAATCAAGAACATTGTATCTAAAATGGTAAAATATTTCGTTACTACATCCCCATCCTAAAATTCATCACTTTAAAATATTTTAAAAATAAAAAATGCAAAATTACAAGGTATTTTTCTTTACTTACCTTAAAAAATAAGCTCTAGTAAATACATTTGCTTTGTTGTTCACAGAAGCAAATTAGAAATTAGAACTCTCGTCCCAGTTTATCCAATTTCTTTAATTCCACTCTTTTTGCTCAGTACTATGTAAAAGCCATAATTAATGAGACAGAAAGTGTGAGGTCCTTTAAGACAGTTACCTGGCACTGTCTTCAGGCTGCTTCTCTGGGGAGCACTATTTTGATTATTTGTCTTCTGTTTCAGTCTCTCTGGGGCTGATGTCACTGGAAGCAGTATCAGAAGTATTGTGCAGCAGTAAATGCAGGCTGTGCCATTCCCCTTCTTTCTTTGGGAAGTACACTTTAAGATTACGGAGACCCTCCTTGCTCTCCTGCTGTCTGCTCTAAACTGAACATACACCCTTGAGAACCACAGGTTTTCAGAAGGTAGGTAAGTACCTGGCAGATCTCTTTTGCCTATTGTATGACAACCAGAAATTGCACATGATATTATAATTAACTGTTTAACTTCAGCTACAGGAGCCCTCGCTTCCAGATGCAGCAGAAAATGTCTGGGTTTGGGAGGGAGAACTCATGAGGATTTGTGTTATTTTACTTGGAGAGGGATGTATTTGCTCCTCCAGACCCCTGTTAAAGGATAGGCCATTGTACTGTCACCATGTTTGTCAGGGTTCTGGTAAACCAGCTGAGTTACAAGGGATGATTTCTATTTCTTCATCTGGCCTGTGTTTCCTACCTGGCCTTAAGGCTGTCCTGTGAACACATGTGCACATTTACAGCTGTGAGAGAAGGCACAGAATAGATGACAAGTGGTCTTCTCACAGCTTTACAGTTCAGTCCATAGTTGATCTGAGAAAGATTAATTTATTCCTATTAATTTGGCTGGCATCAGATGTCCTATAGAATTCCAAGATGTGTACCCGAATGTGCCACAAAACTGACTGCTGGTTCCTGAGCTCACAGACATCTATGCAGGATTAGGGCTGTGAGGAATGTGGGACTGTAGGTCTGTCTAATCTGTGTGTGCACAGGGGGATTAAAGGCACAGGGGCAGCATCTCTTCTTGCCCTGGTGAAGGTGATGAACATGCTCACATATCTCAGCCAGAACCTCTCTAATGGCACAAACAAATACTACTTGAAAACAATGTGAATTCACTCTGGTAATCCCTGCGGAGACACTAGCTTTAGGCTGCTGAGACCAAAGAGCCTGAAGTGTCTGGGATGCTGGTCACCACATTTCACACCAGCTGAAACATGTAGCTGTGTAATCTGCAGGACCATAAACAGAAATATTAAATTCTTGAAAAAACAGATATAGGAAAATATTTCTTTTATGACAATCATAAACAAATGCATTTCCTTCCAAATCCCGACAACTTCTGAAATTGTTCTCTGAGCAGAAACATCTGTGTCACAGATAAGACTCTAAATATAACACAGCCTCTGATTTTCTTCCACTCGTACTCTGTTTTTGGCCTGGTCAACTGTTTCGAGGCTCTGTGCTGAAATTGCCAGTTCTTAGCCATACACTGTAGCCACAATGGGATGTTCAGCTATGGGTGATCCTCTCCAGAAAAGTACTTGCTGTATTCAAAAAGCATGGGAGAACACAGGTTTTGGTGGAGGAAGAGTGCAATTGGTGGTTATCCTCAGAGTTGAAATTTTTATGGAAGAGAACAGTGTTCAATGCATTGCCCCCAGATTATCACTACAGTCAAACTAAAAATAGTAGAAGAAAAAAAATCTGTTTCAGGACCAAGAATACTTTCCTTTGTATAATTAGGTTCTGCAGACTTCATAGTGGGTGTCTGTGTCTCCCTCACTTCCATCTATCCTCAGAACACACTGTGGAGGATATTCAGTCCTGCTCACTTTGTTATTAATTTTTTTTATCTCTCCTGGAGATTTAAATTCAACATTATTTACTTAAAATATTTGTATGTAGAGGCAGAAGTCGGCTACATTTTCTGCATAGGATATTTTTGCAAGGGCATTTGAAACACATCTGTGGAACAAGATGCATGTTCTTTTCTGCTAGTATTTAAAATGAGGTCTCTGATTTTGTGTGTTTGGTTCTAGATAACTGTTAGGACTTAGTTGTCAAAGCAGACAAACTTTACACTGCCACAGGACACATGGAAGCTCTCCATGCTTACACTGGTAGCTGCTGATGGCTTTTCTGCTCCTGAACCTGGTGTACTGTGAAAAAACAGGCATGGATGACAATCATGCGTACTCATAAGGAGTTTTAACAATGCTAAATGTATGGTTGGACTCAAAAGGAAATGTAGGAAGCAAATCATTACCAGGACTACAATTTGAGCAATATTTGCCTTCTTTTAAGTGCTGCCCTTCATTCTTTATTCAGTTGTGGACCCCTAACAAATGTCCAGTAGGAGAGCAGGCTCCCCCATCCAGTAAATATTGCCTGCTAACAGAATTCCTTTTTCAACCCTAAAATGATACTCAAGTCCCAGAACTAAAACAGCTGCTTGTCAAGCCTCCCATTGTGAACTGTGTCACATCTGTCATTCTTCAGGTTACTGAAGAGAAGAGGAACCCCCCTCTGAAACTGGCTGAAGGCTGTTTCACCTCTCTAAAAGACATTGCCCCCAGTAATACAGTCACTCCCTTGTGATTCCTGTGCTCACGTTGACTGTTGCCCTGCAGGAAGCGGCTGCAAGAGAGGAAACCTAAGGCTTTGACTCCTGCTTATCTTAGAGAAGTGCTGGTCCTTCGGCAGTGGGAAATCAAGATCTTCTCTGGGGCAGGGTTGGGGCAACAGTCCTGAAGTGCAGGGTAAACTGACAGAGGCCACTGTGCGGCATTTCAGAGGTGATGAGGGAGATTGGGTAGCATGTGGGGAAGGGTTGGAGGAACTCCAGATATCTTAAATTATTTCTGGTTGTGTTTGGGGTTATAGGTCTGAGGCAGTGGTGCATAAAAAATTTTAACTAAGTATCCGCACAAGGTTGGGAAGAGGTAGCTAATACCCATGCCGAAGCTATGTTGATGGCAGACAGGCGATGGATGGCATTTGTAGGATAGACTCACAGAGCCCACAGACCTCGGTAGGTACCTTGCTAGCAGAGTGAGTGATGCCCTTTTTCGTATTAAACCTAAAACGTCCACATTCTACTTTATTTTTAAAAAGTCTTTCCCAGAGGATTGAGATTGAAAAGCCAGGCACCCTACGTTCCTTCCCTGGCCTGGGGTCTCCGGGAAGAGCGCCGCGGGCCCGCAGGGAATGCCGGGACGGACGCGGGGCGCGCGGCTGGGGCGGCAGCGCCACCTGCGGGCGGGTGGGGGCACTGCGCCCTCGAGCCCCGCGCCGCTCAAACGCCTGCGGAGCTCCGCGCCTGCGCAGTGAGCTGGGGTGCCTGCGGTGGCTCAGCTCCTGTACGTGCTCGTGGTGCTGCTTAACGCATTCTGAAAATCGAGCTTGTCACTGAGGTACATCCTGCTCTGCACTTGCTGCTGATTAGGAGTGTGTAAAAGCCTTATGTGGATATCACCTGCTTACCTTAAAGCGTTAAATTAGAAGTCTGTTTATACCGTTGTGTATGTTTAACAAATATGTGCTTATTTCACAAGAGTGGTCAAATGAGTGATCTCGTGGAAGAAAACGGCAAGAAAAGCTATTCTTCCCAGGAAACATCTGCAGAAAAAAATGTGTCTCCTGCTGAGGACTGCTCAATAAGACACAAAAATGTGGTATGACTTCTCCAGGACTATTTTATTATCAAGATATTTAAAATTGCCTTCAGTTTTTTCCGTCATTACAAAAACAAAGAGCTGGAGTCAAGAGGGAAATATCAGTAACAAGAACAGTGAAATGCATCAAGTTTGTAATGCAGTGATTTAAAGGGCTAAGAGCAATTCTAAGTAAGTAGGGAAACAGAAGAGTAGTCTTAGAGGAAGGAATATCACCATACCTTATTTTTCTTTTGCAACTTAAAATTGCATTATTTGTGATCACAAATGGTGATGGTGCTGAAAAATCTACCCCAGAATCCAAAGCAGACATGTCTGAATAAGGTACATGAGATTGCTCTGTATGTTTTCAGGAGAATGCAGCTGAAGATGCACAGCATTATCACCTTGGGAAATAATGCACTCAAGTGCATGGACATTCCTGAATCACTGTATCAGCAGATTGGGCTGAATGGCCACTGCTTTCCCCTGAGAAACAGTGAAAGTGCTCAATTTTTTGTGGAAAATCACTGTGAGCTCTGATGGGAATGACACCCTCCAGGGAAGCTAAGAGATGGCGAGGCAGCTCCATTTACATAACAGAAGAAAAATATAAATTTGTATGTATTTTTGTGGCTTTACATAATGAATGATAAGTGTCAAAGCTTACAGTCGTTGTCCAAAGGGAAATTGTTTGACATGATGCTTATGTTGCAGTGACTTTAGAGATATCTGTCTATGTATGTGGACTGTGTAGAATGGTAATACACAGAGATAATATTTTAGTTTCCAAAAATATTCAGCAGTTTTAACTAATTGTAAATATGAATTCCATAAAATTGGCAGAAAAATGCATCCTCCTATTTCTCAGAAAACCGTGCTCAGTTGAGCTTCTTTGTTTTTGTCTGTGTGTTGGAGTTCTTTTTCTCATACTTTTCGCTTGTGCAAATGTTTTCTTACTGTACTAGTTGCTCCTTCAGACATTTTTCTTGCCCTCAGATTGTTTGGACATAGATAGTTTCTAGGCATCTGAAGGAAAAATGAAAATAAGGGTGAATCCATTTGAGATGCTTATAATTATAGTACTTGTTTTTACATTTTAGATGAAGAGCAAAACACATAATTCTGCCTCTCACATGGCACCTTGCAAACTCCATGACACTGTACCAGAGTCATGTATTCAGAGTTATGAATACAGAGTTTTATGTCATGTATTCAGAGTTATGATTGTTCCATCCCCAGTGAGGATCCACAGTCGGTAAAAGGAATACTTGTTTAATAGTCAGACAATCAAACATTTTAAACAATCAATATGATCTTATAAGATATCAGGAGTATTACTTTTAATGTCATTCAGAAGTCAGTGAGGACACTTGAATATGTTTTCCAATTGTACTAATTACAAACTTTCTGTTGTTCATTTATAGCAAAAACTCGAGAAACAATTAAAATGCTTAGCCTTTCAAAATCCAGGACCTCAGGTAGCTGACTTCAATCCTGAAACTAGACAGCAGAAAAAGAAAGCATGCATGTCACAGATGAAACAAAATTTTTTTTATGAGTCCAAGTAAGACCTCTAATTTATTACCTGATTTACTTTAAAAAATGGCTGGTAGGCTGTTCAGTGAACCTAAACAAAATTAATATAAGCATTGTATTTTTCAAAATGATTTCTTGGGAAAACAAGATTTTTCTGTATGACTTTAAGGGAATTTTGATATAGTATGGCATGCATTAATTTTTTAGTACCAATGGCTGTTGCAATTAGGGTATAATGCTGGTATTTCATTTTGCTGTGGGTTTGTTAAAGACTAAATACTTGTTGTACAGATGTTTCCCACATGTGCTTGATTTAGTGTCTGAATGCATTGAAGCATTGTCTGAAAATAATTTTTCTTCTCATTCACAGATATACAAAGAAGTATGACAAACATGGCAGGCTGCTTTGTAATGACATAGATTTATGTGACTGCCTGGAAATGGACTGCCTGGGTTGCTTCTATCCTTGCCCCAAATGCAACTCGAACAAATGTGGGCCAGAATGTCGCTGCAATAGGAAATGGGTTTATGATACGATTGAGACTGAAGCTGGGGATGTGATCAGCGAGCTGCCATTCTTTGTCCCTGACTGATTATGTTCTGTTAGGTCTTGTGCCTGAATATTTTTCTTTTAAATTCATGTTTTATTAAAGTAAATCACCACCTGGCAGAGATGCTTGTGCTTTTTTTATTGCTGCCTACCTAGCAAGTTTTAGCATTCCCCATCAAGTAAAAGTGTGTATTTCATTCTTCCTCATCCTTGTAAGCTTTGCTGAGGCACCTAGTCAATTCTTTCTAACTCTTGACTTTCTAAAATTGAAGGTATCTGAACTGTTATGGAAGATAATTTTCTTACCCTGGGAAGCTGAACTGCTTTACTTGTAATGAGGGTTTTTTGCCGATTACTCTGCTAGTTCAATTACTCAGATGTGTGACACAGCTCTTTCTTTTGTGTAGGCTTGTCCAAGAGCCTTCTCATCCTGATGCATTTGTTCCTTGTATAGATGAGACAGGAGGCATTTGAGATAACATTGTTCTTTGAAACTAGGTCACTTTCCATGTTTGTCTGTATATTAAGCGAAGGAGAGTGGAAACAACTCTCTCTCAGCAATTCTTTCTTGCTGTCCAGGTAGAAAAACTGAAACCAACATTTTACAGTATGTGGCACCTTAAATGTCCACTGGTCATTAATTATGTGGCTAAACAGAGTGGATATTTTTCCTTCTGGACAGAAAAATATCTTCAGTTCCATAAGTTTCCTCTTCAGGTAAGACGTGACAGATTTTAAATACAACAACTTACACCCAGTCTTCTTATGAGGTAGGTATTCTCATTCATGATAGGCATTCACGATCTTTTTGAGGAGTGAGAGTCCCTCTAGATCTTGAAGGCAAGAAGGCTGCAGATGGTTGCAGGTGATTTCCAGGAGCATGCTGCTAGTGGGGGAATCATTCCTTGGGCCTAGTGCTTGTTTCTTTTTGAGGAGGCTCTCCCAACTTTGAACATGGCACCACTTTTCTCCCTTACCACAGGCCATTCTCTGTGACAAAGACCATCTGCTCCAAGACAAAGAAACCTTCCAATACATGAAACTTGGGAACAGATCCCAAGAATGTCTTAACATCAAAATTTCCTTCTAACTTGCTCTTCAAGCTCTTGGGGTGTCCTGTGCAAGACTAAAAGTCCCTTCTGACAGCATATTCTGTGATTAGGTGACCACTAAAAAAAGGAAGGCTAAGGAGGACTCATTACCTCATAGATGTGGGGAGATGCAGCATGACAAAGGATGAAGAAAAGGCAGAGGTGCTTAGTGCCATCTATGCCTCTGTTTTTAAAACAAGACAGGTTGTCCTTTGGGTCCCCAGCCTCAGGAGGGACAGGCATGGGGATCAGAATGAAGCCTGCATATTAAAGAGGCCATGACCACTGACCTACCAAATCATACCCAAGTCCATGGAGCTGGATGGAATTCACTGAAAGTTACTGAGGGAGCTGTCAGCAAAGCTCACTAAGCCACTTTCCGTCACGTGCCAGCACACCAGGATAACTAATGAAGTGACAGATGACAGAAGGCTGGCAAATATTTTGCCAATCTATAGGAAAGGTTGGAAGGAACATTCAGGGGACCATAGACCTGTCAGTTTGGCCTCGGTGCCAGAGAGGGTCGTGAAGCACATGCCTTCACTTGGTGTATATGGGGCTACCAGGGGAATAGGCACAGCCAGTTTGGGTTTAGGAAAGGCTGGTCCTGATTAGCTAATTTGATCTTCTTTTGTGACAGGGCGACTCTGCCTAATGGATAAGGAAAAGACTGCCGATTCTATCTGGACTTCAGTAAAGCCTTTGACACTGTTCCCCACAGCATTCTCCTGGAGAAACTGACTGCTCATGGCTTGGACAGGGGCACTCTGCCCTGGTTAAAACTGGCTGGATGGCCAGAGAGTGAAGGTGAATGGAACTATGTCCAGCTGGAGGCTGGTCAGAAGTGGTGTTCTCCATGGCTCAGTGTTGGGGCCAGTCCTGCTAAGCAAGTGGTTTGAGTGTTCCCTCAGTCAGTTCAGAGATGACACTAAGTTGGATGGGAGTGCTGACTTGCTGGAGGGTAGGAAGGCTCTGCAGAGGGATCTGCACAGGATGGACTGATAGGCCAAGGCCAGATTCAACAAGGTGAGGTGCTGGGTCCTTGGGCCACAACAACTTCATGCAGGAGTTGGAGGAGAGTGGCTGGAGAGCTGCAAGAAGGAAAAGGACCAGGGTGTGCTGGTCATCAGCAGCTGAACATAAGCCAGTGTGTGTGCAGGTGGCCAAAAAGGCCACTGCTGGTGGTGTAGCCATGAGTACCAGGGAAGAATTGTCCCCCTGTACCAGGCAAAGGTGATACAGGGGGACAATGTGTGCTGTGTCCAGTTTTGAGTGCTGTGTCCAGTTTTGGGTTCCTCACTACAAGACAGACCTTGACTCTGGAGAGTGTCCACATTCTGGAGTAAGTCCAGAGAAGGGCAATGGAGTTGTTGAAGGATCTGGAGCACAAGCTCTATTAGGAAAAGCTGAAGAAGATGGGGGTGTTTGTCTTGGTGAAAAGGAGGCTCATGGGAGACCTTATGTCTCTCTACAACTATCTGAAATGAGATTGTAAACAGATGAGTGTTGGTCTCTTCTCCTGGGTAATAAGTAATAGGATTAAAGGAAATGGTCTCCATTTGCACCAGGGGACTTTTAGATTGGATTTTAGGAAAAAACTTCTTCACTGAAAGGGTAGTCAGGCATTGGAATAGGCTGGCCAGGGAAGTGGTGGAATCACCATCCATGAAAGCACTCAGAAAGCATGTGGATGTGGCACTTTAAGACATGGTTTAGTGCTTGGACTCAATGATTTTAAAGATCTTTTCCAACCTTAACAATTCTATGATTCTATAAAAACACTCACTACCAAAAAAAAAAAAAAACCAAAAAACAAAAAAACAACCCAAACAAAAAACCATCATAGGTATGACACTCTGTTTGGTAAATGGATCTAGTGATGTTCTCTCATATACTTCACTGGTCCCCAAGTATCCTTTGACTCCTGCCAGGAGTCCAAATAGCTCACATAATTTCTTAAGGTAGGTGGAAATCCTGCTCATAAGTCAGGAGTCAGGAATTGTTCCTTGTTCCAAATGTGCCATAGACTCATTCTAGATTTGATGGAACAAGCAGATCTTCAAGAAGATAAAGTTAATTTAAGTTGACAGGAAGATGGCATAACTGACATAACCTTGACATAACTTCAAGATCTGAAATGGACAGGTTTGAATTATCATCTATTTCTTTTTATTTTAAGACAAAAACCTAAACAGTTTATCACATGGATTCCTGTGGTAAGGCTACATGTTACATTTTCTGAGTAATGTGATTAATACCAGATTGGTGGAAATCCAATAGTTGAATTAATTTGTGTTACTCTGTGGTTTTTAAAATGGACTGTGACTCGGTCACAGTCATAGCTAAACACAAATTCAAAGAGAACTCCACACAAACACACTTATTGCAGCCTTGGAAATAGAGCACAAAACCTGAAAATGAAAGAAAGGTGAGACCCAAGATAAAGAAATAACACGGCAGAGGCAGTTCTGCTGTGGTTTGAAAATAACTCTACTAGTGCAATGATCCTGCTAACTTTTCCCCAAATTCCTAATGAGCAGTTCAGATTGAACGAGTATGATTCTATTAGGGCAGATGTACATGGGGCAAAAGAAAACATGTTACACGTATTTTTGTATGGATTGTGAAAGTTAGTGGTAGATACAAATAGCAACACAGTGCCCATATTTGACAGTTTTGTTAGGAAATTACATACCACCACACTGCATGACATTATGGTTTAAAATCCCTTGAGAGAAATGGCAGAGAACATTTTATAGTCTCTTGAGAGATTGGTTTTGCTCCAGATGACATCAGATCATTTTACATCTTATAAATCAGTATAAACAGAATATGATTTTCCCTATGCAATACGTTTGCTCTAGAAAACTGGTTAAGGGAAAACAGATCAATGAACTCTTCCTTAAGGTCTGTGTGTCCTTCTCTCTCTCCCCAATTCCTCCCCTCCTCCCCAAATTATGCACTTGAAACAAGAAGTGACTCTGCAAATCATTTTCCTGTCTTTTCCTTGTCCATGTGGCTGCTTTGCTCATGGCTACAAGTGATCCCATTGTGGCTTAAGGAAAGGGGAGAGTATAGATAGATACATATTGAACTATACCCTAAACTAAGATACCATCTCTCAATCTCTCAATTCTGTGCGTAAAAATTGATTCAGTTTGTTTAATTTGAAATGATTGTGTCTTCCACTGTATTTCCCTTGCTTACAATCATTATCTGTCTGGGAGGAGACATTCACCCTCTGCTTTACTAGATGTTGTTACTACAAAGACGCCAGTCTCAGGGAAGTGTTCCCATATGATTGTTGCATAAGGATGCTTCTTTCCCTTCTAAGCTCCTGTGTGCTAAGGCATTGTCTTATTGGAGTTGTTTTAATTCCAAAGATTACACTGTGCACCTCCTGCCTTTTATAAACTTGAAAATTCAGAAAATAAAATAAGACCTATGCACAGCATCTTATTGTTTGCCTTCATTGCACTGAGTTAGACTAGGAATCCACCCACTAAGGACACTCTATATTTGACAATGTGTCTATTTCTCCACATCTGAAGATTTCACTGAGGAAAAAAACAACAATAGGTGTCCTTTCATATTGTACTGTATACTTACAACTGCTTCTACAACAAAGGCCAATTAAAAGGAAATATTAATAGAATTATTAGCATGTGGCTTAGGAGAGGCAAAGGAAGAGCCATTAAATATTATGACTTTTAATATGTGAAAGTACGCGAAAGACCATGAACATCTGAGGCTTTATTGGGTGAGTTAAGTGATAGAAGTTTGGAATATGGCAGACCAAAGCTGTACTGGGGCACAAGGCTGGGCTAGCTAGACAGCTGTAGCAGGACCACCCTTCTCTTGTCTACCTCTATTTCTCTGCTTCGAGAAGGGAGACACACAATGGTGATTTTTCCCTTGCTTGGTATTTGCAAATCCTTCATGCAAAGTTCCACAGTGAAAATTTGTATAACATAGCACTTCTGAAATACAGACTAGGAGTACAATAGATCATAGCATTGTAAAACAACAGGCAGAAAATTGAGATCTTCTTTCCCAAACTAAGGTCCCACATTTTAATATAAAAATTGCTATGGGATTCCTGTCCAAATG